GCTCTAGGCGTGGCAAACCCCCAAGCATCTGTTCGTGGCGGAGTTGATGCTTGAGGGGCTGCGAGCTCCCAAGCGCTTGCTTGCGCTGGAGCTGTCGTGGTGCTAGGGCTATGAACCGATGAGGTCATTTCTCCACCACTCTGAGTAGTCATAGCCGGCGAGGATCGACCCCTCAGGCAGCCTTGGGTCGTTCCTTTTCGGCTTGATATCCTTGATGGGCCTATGAGCCCTCGAGGAGGGCCTCTTCACGTCTGACTTGATGTAGTTTTTGGCTAGGGGAGCTCGTGCGTTCCGGTGCACGAACCCTCTCGGTGCGACAACATCGTTGTCGTCGCGTCCCCGCCTGTGGGCGTAGTTTCTGCTCTCGATGGGGAGCTGTCGTGACCTGTCGCTGCGGGAACTGGCTTTAAGTGCAACGCTGTTCGACCCGCTCGTCGCGGCACGTGGTGCGTTCGAAGAGCATGCTTCCTCGGATGCACGTGCATTCGAGGGATGGCTTACAGTTTACGGGGGTGTGTCGTGCGGCTTGTCTATTACACGGGGTCGGACCCAGGTTTCAGGTTTGTGCGCACCTCGGCTCATCATGTCCTACCGACAGCGGAGGCGTTGTCCAGGGTGCGTTTCTACTGTAGGATCCAGTTCCACCACGTGGCGGGTCCGGGTCGGGTAGGAGCTGGTGACGGGTGTTGTTTCGCTAGTTCGGGCGATCTCACGATTCCCTGAGAGGATGTGGCCACCACGTGCTATTCCTCGAGTGAGGTCGCCGTGAGCCATGACCGTCTGGCTTCCTGGGTGGAAGTCTCGACCGCGGTAGGTGATTAGAGAGGGCCTCAGCCCCCCTACGTAGGTAGACTCTGGGATGCAGCCCCCGTAGGCAGTTTCGAGAGTGGGCCCGCCATAGGCCGCGTGACCTAGATCCCCAAGGTGGAGGTCTAGGCCGTGGCGAGGGACGAGACGCGGGCGCTAGTCCTTTGGCGTGGTTAACCGCGTGGTTCCCTAGAAGGATGTGGCCGGTCGTGGTCATTCCTTAGGCGAGTTTGTCATGAGTTGTGGTGCTCTGGTTTCTTGAACTAGAAACCTAGCGACGGCTTGTGACGAGCGAAGGTACTGGCCCCTCTGGGTAGGTGTTCTCCGGGATGTAGCCCCAAGGGCAGTTCCGGGAGTGTTTCCACCGTGAGCCACGGGACCCAGATTTCCAAGGTGGAAGTCTGGACTGTGGCTGAAGGCAGACGCGGGTGCTGGCCCTTTAGCACCGATGAACCCATAGTTTTCACGGTGGATGTGGCCGCCACGGGCCATTCCACCAGCGAGTCCACCAGTGGTGCGAGGAGCTATCTCTTCTTTCCTCAATCAAACGCGAGTGCGCGACTATCCCCTACCTGACACGTCAACTGTCGGTGTTTCGTAAACCAGACTAGTAAATTTATACGATTGCCGTGCTGCTCTAGGAAGATGATGGTTGTATCCAATAGACATAAGGATTTATACTGGTTCAGGCCGGAGTCGTATGTCCAGTCTCAAAGAAGATCGAGTGTGTGTTCCTCGCTTGAATGCTCTGAAGTTCTTACAATGGAGGGTGTAAGAATAAAGAGAGAGAGAGGTGGTAGAACCTATGCTAGATGAGGGGTAACCTGAAGAGAAACTCTAGGAGCCCTACTGCTATGGATGGAATGATAGAGGATGAAGAATGTAAAGATGATCCTAAGATGGGAGCCCTGACTGCCCTTATATAGAGTTCGGGGCCAGGGCTCATTACAAGGAAGAGGTTACCCCAACCGAAGGGTCAAGAGCCCGTCATGGTCCTAGCTAACTTGGCTTACAAGCTACGCTGTCTTCTGATGCTTGCCCAGGCGTGGCTATCGTCATGGTCTTGTGGCCATGTCACGACAGGGTTTGATGTGGTGCTACTGTGCTGGCCGTGGCAGCACTGTAGCCACGGTGATGGTTCATCAGCTGTCCTGTGCAATGCGGCATCCGTCATGGTCTTCGCCGTCGTCTCTAGGTTCCCCGGGACATCGTACCCGTAGTAGGTAGCCGTCCCGGGTCATTGTTCGTCTGGTCACTTCGTGGGGCTGAGGGCCACGACCCCGATCGTTGGGGTCGGGGCTCTCTACCAGCCAAGGAGGTTTCCAGGTTGGGACCCTTGTCATGGATCCCATTCCATAGTGGGTGAGATCATACACGTGTCCTATCGGTTCGTATTTGTACGGTGGGCATCGTACCCGTTGTCACTGCTGTGCGGTGCTGTCTTATTGGTGCGACGTGGCACTGGCATGGTGTCTGACTGGGCCGAGTTGACTGTCTTCACACCGGTTATGGAGGGATCGATGCGGCATGCTCGCCCCTGTCAGGGTAGGTTCGTCAGGCAGGGCCCGACCTCTCCCCGTCTGTTTTAGGGGTCGTGATGGGGGAGAGGTCGCGCATCTGAGCGTCGCGTGACCTGTGCTGGGGGAAGGGGTCGTGAATACCCTTGGCCTCAGCGCCTGGCCTGCTCTACTCGGCTTTCGCTAGGCCTCGTTCGTTTGGGCCCTTGCTGATTGTTGCGTTGCAGGCCGTGCGGCCTGCTAACTAATCGGTGCCTTGAGACCTCTGGAGTTATGACCCCGACATATAAATTGTTACTATTTTCTATAAAGTTAATCAAAGTTAAAAAAGTTTGACTACCATGGATTTTAGGAATTTATTTATTTGGGAACGGAGGGAGTAGTATATTCCCACGGTTATTTTTTAGATAATATTTTTTATAAAGTAAAGACGACATATTGGATCACACTTTAACAACAGCCATATGTTAGCATTATTGATCACGCATCTATACGGTCGTCGCCGTAGCAAGGCATGAGTATATTTGTCTAGTAAATGCAAAAAGCTGAAAAAGCCAAAATCTAGATCCATGATGTCACAAAAAAGTGGTATAATATTATAATAACATTTAATACATAGCTTAAGGTAATGTTTCAAGTAAATACGTATGAGAACCCCCATGGGCCATGGAGGTGCCATACAAACAATGAAAATATTCAGACTATTTGATAAATTTATCCCAATTAGATAGGGATCATAAAAATCTACTCATCTTCTAGCCATAAGCATTTTAAATTTGGACCAGGGGCAGGTATATGTGACCAAGTGAATGGAGCTAAACTGCATAATTTTCTTTGTCTTTACTAATCATTTGGGCCGGTTATAAGGTCCTTTTCAGCTGGCTTGAAAAACGGCTAATGCTGATGCTGATACTGATTTGTTGTGAAAAAAAAATATTGTTATTTCGCTAAAACGATACGGCTGATAAGTTCAAGCGATCAGGCCTGGGTCTTGAGTCTGGAGCATTGTGTTCGTCATTTTGGGCTGGTTATGATCGTTGGGCTTCGTTGGGCTGGGTTGGACAATGTTTCATCCTGGTCCAAAACGTGCTACATTTGTTGCGGAGCTATTCTCCCGAGATCGCAGTAGTTTGTCCAAAATTTCCACTAGCGGATTCGACATGTCAAAATTTAGCCAAACTTTGCATCGGTACGAACCAAAGAGGTCGCAAGTTTTAATCCATGCCAGACGCTTTAATGGCGTACCTAGAAATGTGTCGGAGATCCTATACTAGCCTAGAAATGTGCTGGAGTCATCAGTCAGATTCGAAGAATTGGGGAATGGGTCGTGGGAGGGCATGGGTGATGGGTCCGAGTCTGGTTTTCCGTGGGTGAAGGCGGCTAGTCTGCTGCCTGAACGAGTGAATGGTGCAGGCACAAGGCTCCGAAGAAAACGCGTCTAGTTCACGGGGGAAAACCGAGGATGACACCAGTTTCGCCTAGTTTATTGCTTTTTTTTTGAGGAAATTAGTTTATTGCATTGCTCTACCACGTTGTAACAAAGCCTTATTTAGTTTCCTTTAAAGTTCCAAGTTTTTTCACTCTCTCTATCACATCAATTTTTAGACATTTACATGGAGCATTAAATATAGGTAAAAAAATAACTAATTACACAATTTAGTTGGAAATCACGAGATGAATCTTTTGAGCCTAGTTGGTCCACGATTAGACAAAGTTTACCAAATAAGACGAAAGTTGTACTATTCATCGAGTTGAAATTTTTCTCAATCTAAACAAGGCCCAAGTAACAACTTCGTTCTCGTCAGTCATCAGCTCACTCCTATATACTGCCACATTGACAAAAGAACGTAATTCTCGTCTTCCGAGGAGTGAAATAGGTTAAAATTTAATTAAAATTATATAAAAATATACGGACTACTAACACCCGTTAAACAAAATAGATATCATTAGATTAGTTATAGATTATATTTTTATAATAAATTTTGTTAAAGACATAAATATTAATACTATTTACTATAAAATTAAATAAATTTGACTGGCGCGTTTCTCGTGATTATATTTTTTGTCCTAGACCAAATGTCGGCCCTCTCCCGTCGCAATCCTGCAACCTGCAACGCATGGATGTCTGCTTCCTCGGTTAAAATAAAATAACCAACCAAATCCGGATAAGCTTTCCTCCGGTTCTAGGGCCCTAGTCTGACGCAAGAGTCCAGTTTTACAGGCTGTCCCTGTCCATGTCCGTGCGCCGTGTCCACGGGTAGCCAGCTAGCTAGCTGCGCCAGCTGTCTTGTAAATTCAGCGGCCCCGCAGTCAGACTCCGATGGAGATGACAGAACGGAACTAACGTGGCTATCATGTCATTATATAGGGTTTTTCTATCACTTTAAACAGCACCAGCCCCCACCACACAGATTTGAAAAGAAACGAACTCGATCGCTATTATTCGAAAACTTGGCAGTTGTACATCCGGTGTTGCAGAAAACAAACGAAAGAATAATGCGACATGCGTGCTAGTACATTTTTACATTGCCATCGCCCATGGCAAAACCAAACATTATTCGCCAGACCAGACCACCGATCTCTCTGGTTTCCACCACGGCGAGGCCGAACGACGAGGGATCGTGCACTGTGGCTTCGTGTTCGTTCATCCATCGATCCAACCACACGCATCCTCACCGGAGCTTGCACTCGGCGGGCACGCCCTGCGGGAACCGCTTGGCGTCGGTGCAGTAGTTGTAGATCATGAACTTCCTCTGCACCCAGCGCATGCGGCGGTAGCTCATGTCACTAAGCTGCTGGTTCCACCAGCTGCCGCGTCGCCCTCCCCCGGCCGCAGCCTCCATGGTGCCGACGGGGCACTGCTGCTTGCCGTTAGCCCAGACGCAGGCGTCGGCGCTGAACCCACGGAACGACGCCACGAACGGCGCCTGCGTCCAGTCCGCCTTGACGCGCCCGCCCTGCGTGGCCCAGTCGTCGGCGTTCCAGAGACTCGCGTACAGCCTCATCGGCTGCGTCCGCGGGAACGCCACCCCGCGCGCCTCGTGGTTCTTGAAGTCCCGGATCGGCGTGCCGTCCACCGCGAAGATCACGTGCTGCGGGTTCCACACCACCGAGTAGGTGTGGAAGTCCTTGGTGGGGTCGAACCAGAGCCGGAACTGCTGCTCCCTCTGCCCTTGGCCCTGGGCGAACACGTTGGTGTGCAGCGTGTAGGGCTCGCCGGAGACGTTGCCGAGGAACTCGAAGTCGATCTCGTCGTGCGCGCTGCCGGCGGAGGAGAGGTAGAAGGTGGTGACGGTGCCCGCGGAGTTGCCGGGCACCAGCTTGATCTGCATGTCGATCTTGCCGAAGAGGTACTCGTTCTTGGACTGGAACCCGGAGCCGGAGGTCTTGTCCAGGGTCAGGTCCAGCCCGCGCCCGCCGTCCACCACCTTGCCTCGACCTTGCCCCCACGTCATCTCCGTGTCCTGGTAGAAGTTGCCGCCGTGTGCGATGGACGCTAAGCACGCCACCGCCACGAAGGCAACCTAGTGCCCCTGCCCCTCATCATCATCTTCTTCTTCTTCTCACCTCTAGCTCGTGTCTGTGACTGCCGGAGCTCAAGCTATTGATAGTGGTGTGAGTAGCGTGTGTGGGGAAGGAAGGAACTTGGACTTGAGAGATGTTTCGATTGGTGTGTGAGTGGGTTGGGATGGCCATGGAGTGTGGTGGTATTTATACGGGAGCGCCGGGGTGAGGTTCCTTAGCCGTGGCAGCCAGCTAGCCAGGCAGGCAGCCGCGGGCACGGCACGGACAGCAGGTGGTGAACCAACGGGCGAGTGCCGGGCGGCTCCGGCGCTGGGCTGGCTGGCAGGATGGCGCGTCTCCGCGGAGTGAATGCGGGTAGATTTAGGGCACGACACGGCTGGCCGCACCTTGGATCCAGTGGAGGCTGGCTGCCCGCGCGTACGTCCACGCCGGTGGGGGCCGCGCGGCGCGGGCGCCTTTACTTGCCCACGCGCGGACGCGTCCACCCCGACCCGACCCCGGCGGCATCCGCGAATGCCGGGTGCCGGGCGGGGAAAGCGCACGTGCAGCTTTTGGCGCTGCTTTCCTCTGCGTGCTCCGGTCGCGCACAGTGGCGCTAGCTAGCTAGTGCTACGGGGGCGTTCGCTGCTTTACAGTGAGGCGCCGGCTGGTGGTGGGCAGGCACGCAGGGGCACAGGCTGCTTGCCCCGCTCGTGCTGCCCGCCTGCCACGGCCACTGCCAGCCCCGCGGCGAGATCCGGCCGTGGCATGTGCCGAGGACGTGCGCGCTGGTCTGGGATTCGCGGAAGGTTCGTCCGGCTGCCGGCTCTGCTCTGCTCGGTTGCTCTTGCCTTGCCCCCATGGCCACCACTTTGCCGGCCTTCCCGTCCATGGCATTCGAGTTGTACGTCCGTACTTGCATGCTGCAGGTGCAGGGTGTCCACGGTAAACGGCTAAAAACGCATGCAGTGCCGCCGGTGTCCGGTGAGACTTTCATTGGTCCGTAGTAGGGTTGGGACGAAAGCTGGATCCGCCATTACGCTGAGCAGTTGAACGGGCGGTGGCGCTAGCGACGGAAGCCCATACACGTACAGTCGTATTCGTACACAGGCAGAGGCCGTGTAGCTCAGGCCTCAGGCAGTCGAGCTGGAGTGCTTACCGATTTCTCCTTCCAACATGCTGTCGTTAGGTACACCTATACAGGTGTGCTGATTTGGACTACGCTTATTACAAACCAACATGACCGCTTTTGGACATGTCGAGATCGAGGCAGGGGCTGCCGAATTTGAATCCGTTACAGCTTACAAGGAAATTTGAACACTGAAGGATGCTTGTTACTGTGTTTATCCTCATTTGACATGGCTGAAGTGTTTTCTCTCATAATGTGCTCTTGTGTGACTTTAGAAATATGCTGTATCATGAAGCAAAAATTACAGCCCCGTTCGTCCAAGTACAAGAACTAAAGGTCAGTTTGGAATGCAGAAGATTTCATAAAAAATATGCAGAAATTTAATAAGAATAAATTTATTTTCATAGGGAAAATACTAGAACAAAAAAAAAAATCCCCTGTCCATATGTTGTGCGAACAGAAAAAAAAATTACCACATAGGTACACCTATACAGTTGCATGATCAAAACTTGTGCTCAAATAAACATGGCAGTTGTGGGATCCTCGGGCAGTCCTATGCTATTTGTTGGTGATTACTAAAGATACAAATTACACATTCATATGTTTAATATTAAACACATCTTCGTACATCTTCTGACTATATTGCTGAGGGTGTTGTCTATGATAAGCATAAGGGATAATTGTCTATTGGACATCCTAAGTGATGGTCCTTTGCTGATGGATATCTACTTTGGAGCATTTTGCCAGAAGACACTCTGGTTCGGTGAAATTAGGTCACAGTACATCGTGGACCGGTTGCAGCCGGTTGAGAAGAGAGAACGAGGGTGAAATGACATTCTTGCCCCTACCGCGCGCGTCACGGACTTCTTCGATCTGGCCGCCGGCTCCAAGGGGCCGGCGGATTTCTCTGTGGGCGTTGTTGGCGTGCCGGATGCCCGCCGAGGCGTATGCGAAGTTCGTGACCAAGAACAGCAAGGTCTGTCCGGGGGCACGGGCGGGGCCTGATGTCGATGTCGTTCGCGCGCGCCGCCCGAGGCCTTGTTCCGGAAGGTGTTGGCGACCGACGGCGCGCGACGCCGGCTGGCCGATCCGTGCTACGACATGGTGAGCGTGGCGCCGTTCGTGTTCTCCTCGCGCCGACGCCGTGGAGGCCGACGCGATTCGACTTCCCACTATGGCGGTGCGCGGCGGCGGCTTACGGCGTGGGCCCCGCGGAGGTGGCGTCCACGGATGGGCGCACCAGGCAGACGCTGCTGGCGATGGCGGCGGGCGGGCGGGGTGGAGTGTCCGCCGTTGTGGCTAACCCGATGGCCGTGGCGCTCATGCACGTGCTCCACAACAAGCGTGAGTTCCCGCGCGCGGTGCGCGGCCGACCTCGCCAGGTTGCCCCTCGGCGGGAGCGCGCCGCGCCGCCGCCTCCTCGCTTGGTCGCCTCGTCCTCCGGCCTCCTGCGCATCGCCGAGCTCGCCAGCCGACATGGTGAGCTGCGCCGCCTACCGCATGACCGGCACCATTTCTAACAGGTAGCAGTTGGATCGAACGAACGGATGAGACAGGGATCGGCAGAGCGCTCTCGCGGTTTGTTTTGTTTCGATCGCAGAGTTGACCAGGCGTGTCGATGGCGTTCGGGAGAGCAGAGCGACCAACTACGCCCGCATCTGTGGTACAGCGGCATTACGCCCGGCGAGACGGCGGAGAGGCGGCGGGCGGAGCGGGCGTGGAGTCGGTGTTGTTCCGTGGCAAGAAGCTGATGGCGCAGACCAACGGCGAGCGGTTGGACGCCGTGGCAGAGCAGCTGGTCCAGGAGCACCACCGCCGGCTGGAGAGCAAGACCGCCGTGGTGCTGGTGAAGCCCTCCGGGGGAGGGATGCAAGGTTAGCAGCAGCGGGCCTTCGACCGCCACAACCGCCACACTGGCAGCCGTTGCCTCAGCTTCGCCTTCGTGCGCCGACACATAAAACAGAAAAAAGAGAGCGAGAGAGAGAGGAAGAAGAAAGCCACTGGGGCAAGAATATCATTTCACCGCTCTTCTCTCTCCTCGACCGGCTGCAACCGGTCTGCGGTGTCCTGTGACCTAATTTCATCGAACCAGAGTGTCTTCTGACAAACTGCTCAAAACGAGGTGTCCGCCAGCTAACGACCATCACTTTGGATGTCCGTCAGACAATTGTCCCTAAGCATAAAGTGTCTGTTTAGTTTCCAAAATTTTACAAAATTTTTCAAGATTCTCCGTCACATCGAATCTTTGGACGCATGCAGGAAGCATTAAATATAAATAAAAAATAAAACTAATTACACAATTTAGATGAAATTCACGAGACGAATCTTTTAAGCATAATTAGACTATGATTGAACACTAATTGCCAAATAACAACGAAAAGTGCTACAGTACCATTTTCCAAAATTTTTGCCAACTAAACAAGACCAAAGTACCAGTGCTGTCTGACTGAGTGTGAAGCAATATTTCAGTTGTTTCTAATGGTTCAGACTACACGTGCTATTGCAGATAGCTGAGCAATCCAATTGACATATTTGATGAGATGCTTTCCCCCATACTGGTGCTTCTTCTCTAAACTCAATCTCACTTCGTTATATCGGATTGTTCGTGCTTGCTGAGGTATCAGTGATATCGGTCGCTAACAACCGTATATGAGTTAATTTGGTAAAATTATACAACATTAATTAACAATTCAGTTGAACTAATGCAAATTTATAATATTCAATCACACAAAGTATAAAAAACGTTGAATCATTCTTTTACTTAGACCTGTACGTTTATGATCAAATATGGCCTCAGCTGTGGTTTAGTACAAAATAGTCAACAAAATAGAGTATGACATGCAAGCGTGCACGCCAGCCGGTGACATATTAAAAGGCAGACGAAAGAAATCATGAAGACTAGGTGCAAACGTGCACGTAAAGGCTAATACTAGCATAGAAAAAAAATATCAATTATCGACCTATTCGCTTGGCTTATAAACCGTACTGACTTATAAACCGTACTTTTTCGGCCAACGAATAGTATTTTCTCTCACAACAAATCTAGCTTATCAGCCAAGCGAACGGGACAAAATATGCCTACAACGAGAACAAAATTTTTATGGCATGTTGTGGTTAGGGCACTCGATGGAGTATATTAGACATGAGAAATTGTGAACAGCTGGAACTGTAATGGTCGATCTCCTATATCTTTAAACTGCATGACGAATTATGGGTCCTATTTGGTTGATGACTAAAACTTGCCACGTTTAACCTTTGGCAAATTATGGTTGACCAGAGAAAGTTTGATGAGTAAAATTGAAACCACACTTGTGACAAAGTTTGACAAGAAAATGGATCTATGACGTGTGAGATCGAGTACTAAGAAAGTGTGGCACGCTGTAGTTGTGGCAGCAAACCAAACAGCTGTTAGAAAAATTATGGCATGACTAACTTATGGTATGACATGTTTTGGTCACGAACCAAACTAACTGCGTATGATAAACCAGTAGAATATCTAGAATGTTGAACGAATATTTAAACAAGCTAGATTGCATTGCAATCGTGTTGTGCGCTTGAGGAGTGGCAATTACACCATGGGAGGATAGAGTACTCTGCTCCTTTCAAATCCTGTAATAAAAATCTAGAATAGTTAAAATATGGAGTAACAAATAAATGTAGCCAGCCGTGCTAGTTTGGTAAGGGCCTCTCCAGCGGGCTTCTGAAAAGCGACTCATGGGCTGAGGTGGCAGGCCATGAGTCGACCCACGTCACTAGGGCAATCGACTCATCCGATGAGAAAGATTGAACCGATTCACCTGCGTGAGTCGATTCATCGTCGAT